ATTTTTATTATTTTTTTCGAAAAATATTGGTTCTATGCAAAAAATGCATAGAACATAAATGAAGTATTTTTTCAAGAGCTACAACTTTTATTTAAAACATCAATATTATCTTTGTTACATCAGTATTTAACAAGATAATGTTAAAAGAAGCGATAATTTTTTAGTTTTTTCAAGTAGGTCTAACTTTGAAAATGACCTTGTCGCCAATCGGCATGGTCATATTCGTAATCAGCGCGCAAAAATACAATAAAATAAAATAAAATAAAATAAAAATACAATAAAATACAAATAAAAAGCGTAATTTAGAGCAAATCGGAGGTGTGGGCTTTTCGGAACTTTATCCAAAATTAAATTTATTTTTATTATGTATTGTGTGTTTATTATAAGATGTTTTCTGTTTCTTTGTTATATTTGTAAAATAATTATTAAAAATTACTCAAATTTCAAATACCAAATTGGAAAAAGCACTTAAATAAATAAAAAAGTAAAAAATTAATCTCATTACAAAATAAGAAAAATCTTTAAAGAAACATTTTCAAGAATATAATTAAATAAACTGTAAGAATTTCCAGGTGAATAAAAATTCCCAATTTACAAAAGTTTCTCGAATTTTAGATTTTCCAGATTTTCTCAAGCAATAAACATTCTGCTTTTAATCTTCGTTTAAATTTTTTCCAATTTATTTTTTAAATTAATTAATTAAAAGTTAATTAGCTAAAACACAAATTTCTTATTCTGGATGTCTTTGCGTTTTAGGGATTTGTTTCATATATTGGATTCACGTGTATCGTGATGCGTCTCGATTACAAGGCATACCGAATCATTTTCAGTGAATACTCAACGGTATTTGTGCTGATTTGTGCAGTAAACCGCAACTCAATCATAAAAAGCATACTTCAGAAAAAAGATATAATTTGTGCTAGTCCTGCACTTTTCGAATTTTGAATTTTTTATTAATTGTGCTATTTTTGTACTGATTTGTGCCATAAACTGCAACTCAATCATATAAAGCAGAACTCGGAATTAGTAGCACATTTCGGGCCGATTCCCGATTTGACGCCTCCTATTTCCCCACTATCGTCCGGCCGCTGGCGACCGAGCCACCGATAGTTGTGGCTCAGGAGCGTTTTATATTAGAAATAG